TACATGATCTTAATTTTTGCTTGCCATAATAGGCCATTGATCCTATTGTGTTTTAATAAAATAGTGTAAGTGAAGAAAATCTATTGCATTTGTTAAGACATTTCTGTGTACTGGTATGTACTTAAGTTACTAGTATGCTGGAACAGAAGTGCCATACTTGAGTTTTTTTACCACATTGAAACAGGTTTTAAAGAAAACAAATTTTAGCTCAATGTAACCATAAAAAATGGATATTAGAAAGAAATAGGTTGTTCATAGTAGTTCCATACAGGGGCTACTTTGAACATGCATTATTAAAAATACATGAATGCATTGTACTTGAAAGTCTCATCAAAGGTACGGAAAAGCTAAATTGGTACAGCTAGAAATATATTTAGAATCATACTTTGATGCTAAAACATGTTCAAAGTAGCTCCAGTTGACAGTGTTCCTTTTTTTATTTATAAATGGTGTATCTAAAAGATACTAGCAACACATTGAACACATTATGCGAGAAATGTGTAGTACTGTTCTTTATGAAACCTTTAAATGCTACCAAGGTTGAATATTTAAGACTCATAATTAGAGTGATTTCTTTATTTATTTAAAACCCTGTACATTTTATTAAAATGTTTACCTCATATTCTAGTGGATCTAAGTTGTTTTTCTTTTCAATTCACTAACAAATTAGGTTCGAAAAACAACGCAAGCTGCTCTTATGGTTTTAGTGGAACAAGGATTAGTTGAAAAAGGTTAGTTTCAAAAGTTGTAAAACTTTCAGAGTTTCACTTTTACTTGTAAAAGTATGTTATAGAGATGAGCAATTTAAAATTGCAGTTAGAATGCTCTAATATTGTTGCTCTTTATTTTGAAACACCAACTGATCTACTATGAGTACAATGATTTTTAATCCCTTGCTTACCATAAGTTTGTGCTTGGTATGCCCACTATTTCTGTTTTCAGAGGCCATGTGAGTGTACCTTAATCAGGGTTTTTCTCAGTGAATTCAGTGGTCTGGTTTGTAGGGCCTTTTCTTCAATAAAACACAAATTTGTTCAAGCAACCTGTGTTTGAAAGTGCCTTAATATTGTAGTATTTTAATGAAGTACCAGCTTACCTGCCATAATGGTTAATATCATGCTTAAGCATCCTTTATATAAACTTGTTTTAATGTTATACAGAGTCTCTAGTGAAACTGCACACTTGATACACCACTTTTAGTAATACTGACTTTAAACTGTATAATCAGTATAAATAAAAATAAATTTTACCAGTCATTAATATGATAACTATTGGCAAAAAAAGGAAATATATGTACTGTTTTTTATTCCTTAACTACCCAATGCCTTCTTTACAGCAACTGTATCAAATGAAATAATTATTGAAGTGGTAACATCCTTTCAGGACACAGCTGTTTAAATAGAAAAAAAGACTTAAGTTCTTTTTACTTCTTTATAAGATTAATTGATAAACATAGAGCAATAATTTTACTGTGGTTGTAGAACATGTGAATATTTTCTGAAATGGGAGTGGCATCTCTGTCCTTCTGTTGAGCTTGAGATTTTATTTTGCAAGACAGGTTATTACTAACTGGTTGAGAGCAAATAAGACAAGTGTTGTTAACAGTGTCAGTTAAACTAGGAAGCCCCTCTAATGATTAATAAGGTAGTCTTTATATCATATTAACAATGTATGTAAAATGGAAGCCTAGGAAATTTATATATTTGTTTAATACTTAGTTATTTGTATACGGAAGTTTACTTGACTTGAGAATCGACAAGAAACATTTATTATAAAAACTTTAATTTCAGTCCAAAAATGTTTTTTCCAATTTGAATGAGAAGTAAAATTGTGGTTGTAAAACTTGTTATGTTAAAGGGCCAGTGCCAAACCGAAGATCTCTTTCGATACCATAGAAAATAAAAAAACTAGTACAACAGTTATAAATGGAGAGTATTTTTGGGGCTTTGGATAAAGGACAAAGTGGTTGATAGTAAGTCGCACTATTGTTTATTACATGTTTTTTAGGTTTGACAGTACTGATTACAACTTACAGATGAACATATGCCTAGGACAAAACTATTGCAGCTTTTCACATAAAGCGCAAACAAACAAATGTATGAACAAGTATCATCAATGTCGGAAGTTTGCTTAAAAACATTTTGGTATTAATGGTAGTAATTCTTTGTTATTATACAGCTAACTTACTGTATAAACACTAAAAATATATGTGGAATTAGATTTTTTTTATCTCTGTAAACTAAAATATTTTTTATATATTTAAAGTAATAAAGTTAGTTCTTTCATGTAATCCATAGTACAACTGGAAGAACAAATATGCCCTCTGGTTTTGCATTTAACAGAAACAGACAATATGGATGATCACAGAACAGAAGCTGTAGCTGTAAGTGCATTTGTTATTTAGTTTATTTTAGATAACTTTTGTATTAAATCTGTGTAATTTGATAAGATAACATTAGTGACATTGACAAAAACCATCTATGAGGACCATTATTCCCAACACACACAAGTGATGATGTCGAATACTTCCTGCGAAAAACATAACGTTTAAGTCTAGAAAAAGAGGTGGTAACATTTTTCAATTCCTAAGAACTTCTAAATTGTTAGCCACCCACTTCATGGATTTACTTGAAAAAGCTAATTATGAAAATGATCAGAAAAGATCATGCAAACTCTGTTGTTATTTCATTTGTTTCATGAGCAGAATATGTTATCCGTGTTTCTATATGCAGGGGTTGGACAGAAAAAAATACAAAACCTGCTTGAAGATGTGCCTATTCTTCTACATCTGTTAAACGGACCAGATCCTCAGCTGACTGATTAATTTTTTATTCCAATGACCTCTTAGGCAGGTGATCTATATTATTTAAACAGATGTAAGCTCTGTTTCCCATCAGATGTCAAGCAACATGGGAAAGAAGTATGATTTAAGTGATTTTTAAAGAATACAGACTGTAGGAGCCCAATTAATTGGTGCTTTCATGACCCAAACTGCAATATTTCCTGGCTTTACAAGAGGAACAGTATCAAAAGTTATTACAACATATCAATTATTTATTAAACTCATCAGGTGAATTTAACAGTTTTTTTTGGAAGATCATTATGAGTGAATGCTTTATGTCAAATTGTGTTGTTTCTTAGCATACTTTTCAGGAGCTTGCTGTTGCTATACTGAAAAGAACTGAAGCAATTTTAACAGCCATTGGTGGAACCACACAATATTAAGCTGCTTCCTCTGAATGTTTCTATTTTTTGTCCAATCCCTGAGCTGCTTGTCTCTGGGTTTTTTCTGTTTATTTGTCCAAATTCTGTATGCATGGTTTAAGAATGAGATTAAAACTAGGTCATGAGTTAATAAATTACAATCATAACTCATTCAGTCTGGGACTATACAAGTTTCTCTTTCTAAAGTAAATATGAAGCCCAGTCTATCATTTGGTCATGTTCCTTGTAATTAGTACACATATTTTTTTCAAAGCAAATAATGGGCTCATGTAGTACAAAACAAATTAGAAGTAATTATTTTAATAGTATTTTTTTAATTACTTTAACAAAATGTTAATCTGTGGATGGAATCTGTTAGATTACATTACACAGTAACAGTATTTTCCATGCAAACTTTTGAAATAGTTGTATGATAAGAATCTTTTAAAATTAGTATTTAACAGTAACTGTTGAGGTGTTGAGCCATGCATACAAGTCACTATAACTATAACTTACCATTAAGTGTATAACATTAAAAAAATTACACTTTTTTCCCCCAAAAAAGTGTATATATGAAGCTCACATAAGTAGTAAGGAAGAAAAAGTTTTGATTTGGCATTGTCATTGCTCCTTTAAGACAAATTGTTGTTTCACATGTATGGGACCTTTTGAGCTGTAACAGTTGCTTTACTAATGTTACAACAAGTGTAAGGTGAAGAAAAAGTCATAATAGAAGAACAAACACTATTTTTTATCAAGTAATTCAAAATTGATTTAAAATGTACTTAAATGTGTAAAAGTCTCTTCGTCAAAATTCTGGATACAACAAAATATACATTTTTTCCATGAAAGACATGGGTAGTGAGATGTGGCTAAGGTAGTCATCTCACTACCTTGTCTTTGACGGAAAGAACTGTAAAAGTCAGTACAGAAAGGAAAGTTGATTGCTTTCCTTTTATTTTCTCTTTTGCTCTTGGGAGATAAAAATCCACTAGGTAATGGTAAGTAGACAGTTTTTATTTCACTTCCTGCTTTTTTCACAGAAGAAAAGGGAATAAGAATCACTATATAATGTTAAATAGGCAGATTACTTAGGAGAAAACAAATTAAAATCCTCTTGATAATGTTATGTAGATTTATTTTATTCTCTGCTTTTTTCATGGTAGAAGAGAGGGAAAAAAAGCCACTAGATAATGGTTAGTAGATTGTTTTCTCTGCATCCTGGCTTGGTCCAGTGATTATCATGCAGAGTCTGTGAATCTGAGGATTCATAGTTCGCATCCTGTTGTCTCATAAACGTGCTCCATTCTTTGCATCTGTGGGTGTGCTATAAAAGTGATGGTCATATCCCACTATTTGGGCATACTAGAACAGTCCAAGAGTTGGCAGTGGGTGCTGTTGAAAATCTCCCTTACCTTTAGTCTATCCGTTCAAATTTAGGGACAGCTATGCATAGGTAGCTCTTATATAGCTCTGTGCAAAAATTCTATCGCTTTCTCTACCTTTAATAAAAAGAATAAAGAACCACTAGATAATGGTATGTAGATCACCTTTCTTTAATTTTTTCCTTTGTTCTTGGGAGATAAAAAATGGGTACAAGAACCCTACCTAAATAATAATAATTAGATTGCTTTTCGTTTTTCGTTTTTCCTTGTTATTGAGAAGAAACAACAATAGTAACTCCTTGATAATGCTAAGCAAATATTTTTCCTTAGCAGTTAATTTAATATTTTACTTTGTTCTTGGTAGAAAATAAAATAATAACTAATAAAAACAATAAGTAGATTGTTTTTACTTAATTTCTTTTTTGTTATTGGTAGAAAAGAAAATGTAAATCAATTGAGATTGTAAGCAGATTCTACTTTTCACTTTTCACATTGTTCCTGAAAAATTGAATTTTATTTTCAAAGGTTAATTACCTGTTATGCAGTCTTCAAAGGGGTTGTGAAATGTGTGCTTATTCAGTTTCATATCACAGCCATCTTTGATGAGCTGTACAGCAGTTCCAGACTGAAGATTTCATCTTCTGAATCATCAGTTAGATGTACTCATGTCATCTTGGAGTTTAATATGTTCAGAGGTTAACACTAAGGGATATTTGGAACTACAAATATATTGTAATGCAGTGATTCCATAGAAACAACAAAGAAGACTGACATGTGGATGAAATGTTTCTAGTTCAAGAAATGCTTGAGTTTAATTGGGATAACAAAATTGCTGGTTACAGTATTATATTCTTTATGCTTGTGTTCTAATATAGTATACATTAAAGAAAAACATACTCTAGTTCTTAATGTGTTGGAAGCATAGGGTTGCTAATTTATAAACATTTCGTGTATTTTATGAAAATAGATATATTTTTATCTGTTGCATGAATATATTGATATGTAACAGAAACCTATAACCTGATATCATAGGAATAAGACAAAAAGAAATTGGAAAAATTAATAGTATTTTCATAAAAAATTAAAATTCATGTCAGAAACAAAATTATTGATAACTTTATAAATGAATGTATTGTAGGTTTCTTGCTTATCATACAAGTTACTGTCAGGCCATACTTGGAAAATAATTGGTACAGTTATTACTGGTACTTCATACAACAGTAGTATTATATTCTTAATTAATCAAGAATTGGTTTCTAGTAATACAAGTTACTGTCAGGCCATACTTGGAAAATAATTGGTACAGTTATTACTGGTACTTCATACAACAGTAGTATTATATTCTTAATTAATCAAGAATTGGTTTCTAGTAATACAAGTTACTGTCAGGCCATACTTGGAAAATAATTGGT